ACGATATCCTAGTCCCTTCGAAGACCGCTGCAAAGGTTAGGATGAGAAGGCCTCGGGGGAATGGAGCTACGGATGTTGATCCTTCTGGCCTTTCTCCTTTCCTGCCGAGCTCTTCCTTAGTTAGGCAGACTGTCAATCCTACAGAGGAAGGAGCACCGCGAGGATGGACACTACGATGAGGAGCAACGCGAGGAGTAAGTTGTTAGGTTGCCTCGAGTTTTTGCTTTTACTTCTGCTTTAGTAGTTCTTTTGTAATGAAACTTGGAAGTTAATGAAATATCTTCAACTTTTGCTTTAGTGCTCGGTTGGATAGGCTATGATACAAACCGAGCTCCCTTTTGTAATGAAGTACCTTCTAAATTTGCCAAGTGTTGAACTTGCAACTTGTATTTTTCTTTTGTAGGGCCGAACTTCTTTTTGTAATTGAAGTTTCACTTCAATGCACTCGTTCTTATATTTTCGTAAGTGTTGATCTGCTTATCTTCAATTTTTGCTTGTATGTAATGTTTTCCCCCGACCGAGCAGAGGCTCTGTGGCCTAGCAGGCCATCTGTTTGGTCTGATTAGGCTTCGTGCCTTAGAAAAAATTGAGTGAGTTTTCGATGCCCCCAGCCGAGCATGAGCTCTGTGGCTCAGAAGGTTGTCTGTTCGGTCAGACCATGCTTCATGCTTTAGTAGAGAAAAAATTGTGAAAGTTTTTTATCATGTTGTTTGGCCGCCACCTGACTTGGTCAAGTTTTGGCGTGATTTAACCCCTCGTAGGGCGTAATTCTGCCCTTCTTCGAGCGCGAATTGTGAATATGGACCGTGCTTTAAGTAACAATACTTGGCACAAATTCCACCAAGTTATACCACTTGGCACCCCGCTCCAACCAAAGGGTTGAGCATTCGGGATTGGCTTGAGTTAAGACCCGTGGCCAATTTGCTCCACCGAGCATAAATGTACAACACAAGTAAATAAAGACAAACTGTAAGATAAATTTCCATTCATTAATATTTGTAACTTTTGATTACATTAAGGTATGTTCTGAGAAATACATTACCGTAAGTACTTCATCTTAAGAATCACATCACTGGAAGTACTTCTTTAGGTTGGCGACGTTCCATGGTCTAGGGATTGATTTCCCTGATAATTCAGCCAGATAGTATGCGCCATTGCCAAGTGCTGAAGTAACCTTGTAGGGCCCCTTCCAGTTAGCACCGAGTTTCCCTTCTCCAAGAACTTTCTTGTGATCCATTACCTTCCTGAGTACCAAGTCACCTGGTAGGAATTGCCTTGGACGCACATTCTTGTTGAAGCTCTCAGTGAGTTGCTGCTGGTAAGCCGCCAATCGAATGAGGGTAGCTTCCCTACGTTCTTCGGCCATGTCCAGAGCTTGGGCGATGGCTTCATCATTGTCTGCTGGCTCAAAGATCTCAGAATGGATGGTAGGAAGGCCAACCTCCAAAGGGATGATTGCTTCCATCCCATAGGTAAGAGAGTAAGATGTCTCACTGGTTGACCGACGAGGAGTAGTTCGGTAAGCGCAGAGGACATTTGGTATCTCTTCCACCCATTTGCCATTGGCTTTTTCAAGACGCTTTTTTATCCCGTCCATGATCGTCTTGTTGGACGCTTCAGCTTGGCCATTGCCCTGTGGGTAGGCTGGAGTAGAGTTTCGGAACTCTATCTTCAAGTCAACACAAAATCTCTTGAAGATCTTGCCATCAAATTGTGTACCGTTGTCAGAGAGAAAGACTCTGGGAATGCTAAATCGAGTCACAACATTGCGCCAAACAAACTTCTTAGTGTCTACTTCTTTGATCTTGCACAAGGCCTCCACCTCCACCCACTTGGTGTAGTCAGTTGCAGCGATACAGAACCTTTTATTCCCAGTTCCCCTAACTAATGGTCCAACAGTGTCTAAGCCCCACTGAGCGAATGGCCAAGGACTGGTGAGAGGGGTTAGAGCTTTGGTTGGCTGGTGAATGAGAGGAGCAAACTTTTGGCACTTGTCGCACTTGCAGACATCCTGTTAGGCCTCATTTTGCATGCGTGGCCACCAATACCCATGTGTTAGGGCTCGGTGTGCCAAGAACCGACCACTAGTGTGACTCCCACAGATTCCATCATGGATCTCATAAAGCACATCTTCCACCAGACTTGGATGAACACAGAGTAGATAAGGACCCATGTTGGACTTCTTGTAAAGCTTGCCAGATGGGGAGACCCAAAACCGAGCAGCTCTATGCCTTGCCTTGCGCTCTTCTTTTTTGTCCTCAGGAAGGGTGCCATTCGTCAAGAAGGCCAAGAGTGGGTCTATCCAACTCGGGCCCAAGTCAGTGCAGAGGACCATTTCGACTAGTTGAATACTTGGATAAGGTACATATTCCACCCATATTTTGCGACCGTCCCTGGAGTCGACCGAGGAACCCAGGCAAGCTAACGTGTCAGCATGACCATTTCCCTCTCGGCCAATCTTCTCGACTCTGATGGCTTGGAACTTTCTGATCAAATTTTTGGCTTGTTCTGCATAAGTGGCCATCCGCTCATCACGAGCCTCCTAAACTCCAGAGAGTTGGTTAACCACTAATTGAGAATCACTAAAGACGAGTAGCTCCTCCACGTCGAAGTGTTCGGTACTTCGCAAGCCGGCTAGTAGAGCTTCATACTCTGCTTCATTGTTAGAAGCTTTCCAGCCCAATCGAATGGCTTGCTCCCACATGAATCCTTCAGGAGAAATAAGGACAACTCCTACCCCTGACCTTTTTTGGTTAGAAGAACCGTCCACAAACAGCTTCCATACGTCTCCAACAAAAAGTTTCCATGCTTCGGCTGGGGATTGCCCTTTATGCTGGGCAGTCATAGTGACCAAAGCCGAGCTCCCTTCGGAGGGGACAACTGGTCCTGGGGTGAATTCTACAATAAAGTCTGCCAGGACTTGAGCTTTGATTGCTGTTTGAGGTTGGAACTTGATATCAAACTCTCCAAGCTCCATCGCCCACTTTGCTGTTCGGCCCGAGAAATCTGCTCGACTGAACACCGACTTGAGGGGGAATTCAGTGAGGACGTTGATGGTATGTCCTTGAAAGTAGTGAACAAGCTTCTTAGAGGCAATTAATAGTGCATATGCCAATTTCTCCAATGGCAAGTATCTAGTTTCGGCATCTAAGAGTGTCTTGCTAACATAATACACTAGTTTTTGCTCCTTTCCATCCTCTCTGACTAGCACTGCACTAACAGCATGATTAGAAACAGCCAAGTAAAGGAAAAGCTCTTCGTTGGCGATAGGTGTAGATAGAAGGGGAGGAGAGGACAAATACTTTTTCAAATCTTCTAGTGCTTCGGAGCACTGGCTTCCCCATTCAAACTGGTTTTCTTCCTTAGAAGTTGGAAGAAGGGCTTCATCCGATCAGAGGACCGACTAATGAAACGGTTAAGTAATGCAGCCATGCCAGTAAGTTTCTGGAGTTCCTTAGCCTTTGTAGGCACTTTGAGGTCTTGGAGGGCTTTGATTTAGTAAGGGTTGGCTTCAATGCCCGCCTAGTCACCATATACCCCAATAACTTCCCTGATCCAACTCCAAAGGCACATTTTGAGGCGTTCAGTCGAAGCTTGTGAGTCTTCAAAATTCTAAACACTTGCTCAAGGTCCCTTAGATGGTGTTCAGCCAACTTGTTTTTGACGACCATGTCATCAATGTATGTTTCCATGGTTTTACCGAGCTGGTCCTTGAACATTTTGATGACCATTCGCTGGTAGGTCGCACCAACGTTCTTCAAGCCGAAGGGCATCACTTTGTAGCAGTAAGTGCCTCTCGGGCTGATGAAAGCCATTTTCTCCTGGTCAGGACCGAACATGGGGATCTTGTGGTAGCCACTGTAGGCGTCTAGAAAGCTCATACACTCATGTCCAGCCGTTGCGTCAACAAGTTGATCTATTCGTGGAAGGAGGAAGCTATCCTTGGGGCAAGCTTTGTTAAGGCTAGTGAAATCAATGCAGACTCTCTATTTGCCATTCTTCTTCTTCACCACGACGATGTGGGACAGCCACTTTGGGTACTGCACTTCTCGAATGACTCCAGCAGCTAAAAGTTTGTCAACCTCTTCGATCACTGCATCAGTGTGTTGCGTAGATGACCGTCTACCCTTCTGGACAACCGGCCGCGCTCCTAATTAGACGTTGAGTCAAAGACAAGCATAATTGGGGTCCAACCCAGGAGTGTCATAGGCTGAACAGGCGAACACTTCGATATTTTTATGGAGTAGAGCCAGTAATTGCTCTTTCTCTCCAACAGTGAGGGAAGTGACGAGCAGGAAGAACTTGTCTGGGTTTCCTTCTTCTACCAAGACCGTCTCTAGGTCTTCTACCATCTTCTCGGTCGGCACTCTGCCGACATCTTCCAAAACTGGCTGGTCAGGTACTTTCACCATCTGCACTTGGTCGCAGACTTGTTTGGTTTTCATGGCAGCAATGAAGCAGTGTTTGGCAGCCACTTGGTCTCCGCGAATCTCCTCTACTCCATACTTGGTTGGAAAGCGAACGAGTTGGTGATAGATGGAAGGGACCGCCTCCATCTGGTGAATCCAAGGTCGGCCAATGATGGCATTGTACGGAGATGGGGTGTTTACCACCAAGAAGTCAACGGAGACCACCTTGGACTTAGCTATGACAGGTAGAGTTATTCGGCCGAGCGGCCATTCTGTTTGTAAGTTAAAGCCAACTAAAGGGGAGGTGGCAGGTGTCAGGTGTTGCTCACTGAGGCCAAGTTTCTTGAAAAGCTCATAATACATGATGTCTACGGCACTTCCTTGGTCAATCAAGACTCGCTTCACATCGAACTTGTTGGCCACACCAACTGTAACGATGAGGGCATCAATGTGGGGGTGCTGGATTCTCTCTAGGGCCTTCTCAGTGAACACGACGTTAAACCGAGAAGGTCTGGTTTCTGTCTTGGACTTTTTAGGAGGAGGTCCTACCGACATTACCTGTTGAATGTGGGTGGCTCGTTGGATTTCTCCTCAAATGGTGTTTTCTCTTTCGGGGTTAGTCATTCCATGGATAACGTTGATGGCCAACCTCGGGGCATGGTTCTCTTCAGGAGGGGCTTGGTCTAGTCCTTGCTTTTCCCTCGTCTTATCAACGTCTATCCATTGTTGGAGGTGTCCCGCCGTAACTAAGTCCTCTAAGTGTTGTTTGAGAGCTCTACAATTTTGCGTCTTGTGTCCCTTCTCTCGATGATAGGTGCAACGCAGTGTCTGATTGAGCCGAGCAGGGTCTCCAGGCATCTTAGCTGGCCAGACAAAGAAGGCTTTCCCTTTAAGTTTCTCAACGAGCCTGTATATTGGCTCTTCGAAGACGGTGGTGATGCCTTCATAAGACTTGGCCCTTTCCTTCTCATTTTCTGATGTGGAGCGGTTCCTTTGGCCATAGTTCTTGCGCTGCTCATCCCTCCTTGGCTGCTTAGTCTTAGGCGGTCGAGGCGGTCTGACTTCTTCTTCAGCGACCGCAACATGTACTGAAGCAGCGTCATCTTCCACACGAGCTTGTTGCTCTATTCGAGCCCTCAAATCCTTCGTGGTAGGGGCAGGTTGTTTCGTCAACGACTGTCTTAGCTTGTGCGAAGAAGGTAGGCCTTGCTTGAAGTATAGCACGGCCAATTGTTCACTGCAAACATTTTCTTCCAAGTCACCATACTCCTCCCAATACCGTCGCACGTACTGGCATATGGTTTCTTTCCTGTCCTTTCGGATATTGAATAAGGTATCTAACTGCTTTGGGACTCTGCTGTTGGAGACAAATCGGGCTAAGAACGCCTCAGAGAGCTGAGTCCAGTCATAAATCGAGCCATTGGGGAATTTGTCAAACCATCGGAAGCCAAGTTCTCCAAGGCTAGAAGGGAAGACTTTGCACATGAGTGCGTCGTTGCGGTTTCAGAGGGACATCATCTGGCGGTAATGGCTGATATGGGTCAGAGGGTCCGTCTTCCCATCATAGAGAATGAATTTCGGCGGGCTATACTTCCGTGGAGGTTCTACAGCTTCTATCTCTGGGGAGAAGGGGGTGGACACCAACCGGTCTAGAGCGTGACGCTCTTGTTGGTGTATGGACCGATCCAACTGGTCTCTTTCCCTGTCGAGCTGCCTCCTCTCTACCTCGTCGATGTTCTCCTTCCCTACATAGCCGTCGCGCCTCTTCTCTGTTATCATTCAGCCAACTTCTCAAATCGTGTGGTCGCTTGTCGCGACGACAATGAAAGGTTTCAGATAGGCGGCTAACGGTCTTTTGCCTTTTATGAGAATTCTCTCGTGGGTTATTTTTTTGGAGGTTATTCGTCCTACTGCTGGCCCCTTCACTAAGTACCGGAATTGGCCGGCTACGCTCTTTACCAGTTGGGCCACGGCTGCAGTGCACTTTGCGAGGCGGAGGGGGAGAAGGGGTACGTCTCCTTTGCGATGGTCCACCAACGAATTTTCTTGGCTCCGCTGGGGCCGCCATGAACTTCATCAATTGGGTGCGAAGCTCAGTGATCTCCAAACCCATTGAGTCGATGATGCGGTCACGGTGGTCTTTCTCAACAAAAAGACGCTGAGACGTCTCTACGGCAATAACACGGCGTCGCTCCGCCGTGTTGGGTGTCTGATCGTCGTGGTCCATAAGGTCATCGTGCACTGAAGGGAATGCCAGACCCTTATCTTTGGTCCTCTCCATCATTGGAGTCCTCTCTGTTAGCCCAGAGTGGGGTGTATCTTCGATTCCTATCGCCGGAGTTCATCACGAAGCAAACAGTGGTTTTCCCACAGACGACGCCAATTGTGCGATGGTGATTTCTGTACTATGAAGAAGGGTTGAACTTCGTGGATAAACAGCGTGCTTTGGGAATTGAAGATATGCACAGAATAACAAACGGTGAGGCTGCCCGATCGGGGTTTGGTCGGAAACCCCTCCGATGATAAAGTCAGGGACTAAGGGAAAGGAAGATGAGAGAATATAGAGTGTGTATATGTTAAGTGCGTGGATTTTCAGATCCCTTGAGAATGAATAGTGTTCACATTTTATAGGAGAAGGTTATTTGTCGTTCAAGTCCTTCTCTCTCCGCCATCTATCCAATATGTCTTATTCGTGGTCGTCTCCCATTGGAGGAGGACAACCACTCCGCCTGACACTCGGGTGCAGGTCTGTTTTGTTTGTCTCATTAGCGGACATCTCTCATTGGAGGAGGGTGACCACTCCGCCTGCCATTCAGATGCAGGTCTGTCATATGTGTACATTGTCCCTCTGCACCTCCATGTCTCCACGTTCTGTTCACACAGTAGGAGAGGAGCAGAGTTATTTGTCTCTTACGGGCCCAAGAAAGATCTTCAGCGAATTGGCCTTCTCTAAGTTGGTTTGCTCTAGAATGGTTGTCCAACCAGGAGGTCCAACATGTTGCTCTACCCACTTCGGAGTGGTTGTCTGTCCATCAAGGAGGTTCAACATGTTACTCAACCTACTTCGGTGTGGTTGGCTGCCCGTCCAAGAGGTCCACCATGTTGCTCGGCCCACTTCGGAGTAACATTCGTACATTGGGCCGAGCTCCTACTGCTTCGAAGCAAGTGTTGGCCATAGGGTCGAGATCCAACCTAGCTCAACCTCGGAGTGAGCATCGCATTGGGCCTAGCACCAAGACTTGATTAATTTTTACCCACTTCACAAAGTATTTGCCGCACACCTTCTTCACGGTCTCTGCATCATCTGCATGCACGAGATGACCTTCAGAGTCATTTCCCCAGAAGAACGGAACACTCTTATCGGCATCCTGTGTTCCATAAATGAAACAATATGTGCACAAAAGGCAGTGTCAGATTCACTAAAGTTCAGGAAAAAAAATCAATGCTAGACTGAAACGTTTCCTTACAACGGCTATAAAAGTGATTTTTGAAGAGCCGGCGTAGAGAATAAATACAAACTTCCCATGAAGAAAAATGCGTATCGGTAAGTTTTTTTCAAATTATGCGAAAAGTTAAAAAAAAAAATTACGACTTCGTGTACCGTAACCGTTACGTTGCGGCATTTATACCCTACAACCGTTACTACGGTACCGCAACGGTTACGGTGACCACAACCGTTTTTCAAAACCTTGGTGTCACCCCTGTACAAAAAAGAGCTATATCCCCTTCTTCAAAACTAATAAAATCTACAAAAGAGTAGTAGCATTTTAAATTATTCTAGATCATGAAATTCCCTTGATATATGAAATTCTCTACTTTCATGCCCTTAAACCAACATAAAGCTCAATTTCATTTGTAAAAACATTTCTAGTATCATAATATTGATTAAAAATCAGTACAAACATTCAAATTATGACAAATCTGGTTAAAAATGCCTATATACGAGTACTTGGGCGTTTGCTAATACTTGAAAAAAATCCACAATTCGGTTTCCAATTAACATTACATATTTGTCGATATTCCTGTGTCTATTAGGCTGGTTGATTCCATGATTTGAAACCATGTTTTATACACCATAATCAATCATACGTAGTGTTAAAAAAAATAAAATAAAAACAATCGAGAAGTTACTATGATGAGATGAGGCACAAAAGCTGGAAAATAAGCGAGAATAGGAAAATGGGTATTGAACCTTGGGAGGAGAGGGTTCTGTCTGTCAATGGAGTAGGCCATGAGAGCCGAAGCACCGAGATTGATGGTGACCAAACCAGAGTGGTGGCCGAGTGGCGAGAAATGTTGAGCCACAAACCCATCTTTGAGTGCAGAGATTGAGTCCGAGGAGTGTGGAATCTGCAGAGCCTCGGGGCTCTTAGCAATCAATTTATCCAACACTGCCAGCATTTTTCTTGCTCTGTTGAGATGATCGCCAATATCAGAGAGAGAGAGAGAGAGAGTTGGTAACTAACTAGTCAAGGAAATTTCGTGAGTGGGACTTAGATTTCCAAATTTACCCTTCTTTTTGGGCAAATTATACACTCTGTTTGTTTTCAATTTTCAGAATTTACTTTTAAAAAAATTTTACTTTTTTATTTTTCGTATTTATTTGTTTTCATTAATTTTTTTTAATATTTTAAGTAATTTTTAAATACACTTGAAAATATAATATTTGTAAAAAAAATCTTTAAAAAATTGGACATTTACACACAAATCCTAATTTATGAACGTATAGTCCATTAAGTCTTAACTAAGATTTTTTAGATATTTAAGTCCTATTAAATTTTTAATAGTCAGAATTAACTTTCAAAATTGTTCATCATTTATAATTATCTATAAAGGAATATGATAATTTGACATTTATTTTGATTTTCAAAATTTTAAAACATCAACTTTCAAATTAAAAAACTTTAAAAAATTTATGTGCAAAAAAAAACTTTTTTTTTGAAAAAATTTAAAAAATTAATTTTTTTTTTGGTGTAAAACTGAAAATTTTGTAGTTATCATGATGATGGAATATTGATGTGCAAAACTTACAAAAAAAAAAAACTGATAATACTCTTAGTTTTAAAACTAGAAAAAAACTGATAATATTCTCGGTTTTATTGGATAGTTGAATCAAACCACTAAGTAGAAGGGCAAAAATGCAAAAACGTTTAATCTCATGTTCTGTTTTTTTTTTTATCAGTTGGTGAAACAATTGTCTGGAACACTACTATGCAAAATTGATAATGTTCTTAGTTTTAAAAATTGAGAAAAACTGATAATATTTTCAATTTTACTAAATATAACTCATTGATTCAAAAACTCATAAATAGGACCTGAGCTACATAATATTTGTAAATAAGATTTTTAGGTAATTAACTCTTAAAAAAATTCACTAAATACTAAAAATACAAAAAATTCAATACATTTTTCAGATTTTTGTGTATTTATTAATTTTTTAAAATATTTTTTTATAAATATTTTACTATTTAGATACATCTAAATAAGGTGCATCTAAAAAAGTAAAAAAAAAAATTACTTAAAATTTTAAAAATATTCACTAAAAATAAAAATAAAAATAAAAATACAAAAAACAAAAAACAAAAAACAAAAAAATTCAATTTCTAGAAAACTGAATTCAGAAAATAAAAACTAAACAAACTGATAGTTTTTTTTTTTTTTCAATGTTAAGGAGTGTTCGAGTCAGCTTATATTAGGGGTTGGTATTGGCTCGTTGGCCTGTTGAGCCCGCCCAACCTAATCCTATTTTTTTAAGGCTTAGGAAGGTTATTTTAACTCATATGGTTAGTATAGCCCAACATTTTCCGTCCGATATATTAATGAGTTAAGCTTGGGATTTAAATTTTCAATCTAATTTAGCTCGGCCCGCTATTAAATTAATTAATTATAATACATTAAAATATATATATTTTTTATTGAGAACTAAACTTTATCCTTGTTGATTTTATTGAAACTTACATTTGTGGTGATGTGTGATTGAATTTTATTTAAGAAATATTTTAATTTATAAACAAAATTTTTTAATTTATAATGATATCAATATATTTATTTAAGAAACATAATATGTGATTGGATATAATTATGGAATGTTTAAATTTTTTTTTTTAACATATAGTCTGATAGGTAAACTTGGGATTTAGGCCAAGTTTGGCATAACCTAAATAATACAAAAAGTCAAAAGGTCACTATCCTATTTAAGTCACATCATCTTATTTAAATCACATCACCTCTCTAACACATCACATCAAACCCAACCCATATATGCCAATAAGTCAAAAAGTGCATTTTTTTAGAACATCCATAATTTTTTTTAGGCCGGACTTGGATAGATACCAAAGCCCATTATTATGTAGTGCCGACTCTAGCCCAAACTCAGCTTGGCTCGATGTATGAACACCCTTTGTTTACGCACATCTTGACTAATCCCCTTTTTAATCTAGTCAAACATTGACCATCCACATCAAGACTAAGGAATTCATGAGAAATTTATTTTCTCACAACCTGGTCTCAAGTGTTGAATGCGGAACAATTGTATGGAAAACATATCCACCAATAACTTAGGATAACCTAAATCCAGTGTTATCCGTCATATATCAATTTCAAACTTAAATTGTTGCAAGTACCCCATATGATATCCGTAGTCACAATAATTTAACCTGCGTCAATTTTACCTCTTTAGTTTTAATTCTATCAGTTTTGTCATTTATTTAAATTTTACATTGTGTCAATTAATTTAAAAAAAATATTTCAGACCCCTTTTCCCCATCCCCTTTTGACTCCCTCTTAATATGATTGGCCAATTTTTTTTTTTCCTTCTCCTTCAATCACCATCCGCCACGTGTGTGTGGGGGTAGTAGGAGCGGTGATCGGAGGGGGTCTCTATCAAAGCCCTTAATTTTAATTAATAACATCTCTTAAAAATTGCATAGAAAGTAACGACAAGATAGTTCATTCTCCTTAATCACTTTGAAGAGATTAAATAAACTATTTTATCTATTGGTTTCAATATAATTTCTTAAGCAAGATTATCAATTAAGCTAAATTGAATAATATAAAAAATTTAAAAATAAAATTGATATAATTAAAAATATAATAACCAAATTAACATAAGCAACAAATTACATTTACTCTTTGGTAATTTGCCCCTCTTTTCTTTGTACAACTTCATGTAATGATGAGTTGTATCTAGGAGTGTGTAAATACCGGCTAATCCACTAAAATCACACCGATCTGCATCGATCTACATCAATCCGTACCATTCTATCCGCTAACTGCAGATTAAACTTTGAAATTTATAATTTTCCTTCGAAACCGTTCTGTTCCACTATAATTAATACATATACATTTTTTAACATCTAATGAAATATCAAAGTAAAAATGAGTGAGAGAGATTTAAGGTGTGAAATTTGTTATAACTTAGTAGTTTTATGTATGAAAAATATTATGTAAAATTAGTTTGTGTTATATATATGAAAAATAATATGCAAATTAGTGTTATATATCATGTAAATGTTTGATAATTGATTAAAATATTTTTCATTTGTCAATCAACCCAAAATTACCTAAATTGCGATTTGTTAATCCATTAATCCGCTAATTTATCATTCAATTTATAATTTTACTCTAAATTATCAATTTGTTAATTCGTTAATTTGCTATTCAATTTATAATTTTACTCTAAAGCCGTCCAAACTACACCACACACCTATATATGACTTCTAAATATTTACCATAAGTATTTTTTAACAAATAGATCTTCCGTCTATGTCAATTACAAAAATTTGTGTCAAACTTCATATGAAAATTTTTATTTTTTATTTTATCAAAACTGATATTTAAACATTATTTTATATCCTATTTTACACACATGTGAGTGAATATGTAAAAAAATGCATAAAATAATAGATACATTAAGGTGTCGTTTGGTAACACTTACGTTTTCAGTTTTCTGTTTATATTTACAAAAATTTAAAAAACTCAAATAAAAACTTGTTTGGTAAATTTTTGATATATAAATCAGTGGTTTCAATTTATAAATTTGGCCAAAAAATGTAAACTCAAAAAATATGTTTCCATTTTGAGTTTTTAGTTTTTTTTTTTTACCACCCAACACTAGCTACCACCCGCCACCATTTTCCACCACCGTCTTCCATTAAAAGATTTTTTTCATAAATTTTGTACTTTTTAGGTATATTTATGTTAAGTATGTCTAAAAAGTAAAAAAAAATTACTTAAAATATTAAAAAAATTCAATAAAAATAAAAAAACATAAAAAATAAGAAAATAAAATTTCCTGAAATATGTTTTTGAAAAAACACAACCAAGTAAGTATAACATTCTTCTAGTTGTACTCCCTAAACTGTCTACTGTTTCCCACTTTATGTCAATTATCAACTCCCGCCCCGGTTAAAGGATAATTTAAAATTCTCAAAAATTAATTTCCCCCCTTTAATTCCTAAAAATCAAAGTGAGAACATCTTTTTCTTTTAAGAACCAATGCGATAAATAAAACAACAATGATAGAGACCATTAATTTTGGAACTCTAAAAAGACCACTAATGACATGACACTCAATAAAAAAAGAAAAAAAATACAACACCAAGATCAAAACATCAAATCATTCATGATGGAGCCTACTGCCACATCATTAGTGGTAGCACTAATTAGTACTCCCACTCATTTTCCTAAATAAAAACTATACTTAAAGGGATAAAAGTATAATTTATTATATATTTGTCACAAAGTATAACGATAGTTATAATAACATATGCAAAATAAATAAATAATAATAATGAGACCATAAACCTTTTTTCAGTTCAAATTGCATACTGCTTTTCCTACCCAAGAATGTTTTGTTTTCACATCATTCAAATCAAAACAGCAAAAAAGGTAAAAGTAAACCCACTATCGTCCAAAAGTTCTGCTCTAAATTAGTATGATCCAACATATGGATTGTTTATCCACAAGAAATGTTTCTCTATACTCATCTGTACTGTTCGACTCTCCAAAAAAACTGACCCAGTTGCTATGAAGATACAGAGCAATCCAGGAGGCTTCAGCAAGATGCCTCAAACCCTGTTGTATGCAACCGACTTGCTGAACATCTTGCGTATATACACGACTTGAAGCGCACTCGCAAGAGCCAGTAAAATGTACTCTCCAATTGAGTAAAATGTGACACGCTTTCGAGTGCTCTCATTTGCTGTAGAAGAAACAGATACTGTTAATAAGTACAAGACTATTTGGTTATTTTTATTTTTTTTTATTTTTTTTAACAACAACAAAACAATTTTATTAAGCTTCTGTTTGGGAAGTATGTTGACTTTTTGACTTTTTTAGCTATTTTAGCCTGGGCTAAAAAGTTTGGTTTGAGAAGGACTTTTTGACTTTTTGGCTTTTTTGGCTTGTTTTGTGAGTGAAGAATGTAATGATTACGGGTTGGATGTGATATTTTATTTTTTGTGATTAAAATAGTCTATTTTATCTTTTGTGACTAAGGGCTAGTTTGGCATATACTAAATAAGCCAAAAAGTCAAAAAGTCACTATCTTATTTAAGTCACATCATCTTATTTAAATCACATCACCTCTCTAACACATCACATCAAACCCAACCAAAACCCAACTCAAACCCACCAATAAGTCAAAAAGTGCACTTTTTTAGGACATCCCAAACCAACCCTAAAATAGCTAAAAAAATCTCGTTTAGCTCTTGCCAAACGGAGCCTAAGAACAAGACTATTTGGTTAATAACCCATCACAAAATCACAAACACAAGCCTTGTTATTGACACAACTTGGTGTTGATCACAAGGGCGGAGGCACGTGAGACCCAGAGGGGTCACGTGTCCCCCCTCAACTTTGAAAAATTATTCTTTTGCCTCTAATAAAAATACTATATATTTTAATTTACGCTTCGTTTGAGAACCCTTCATTTTAGTCAAAAATTTAAAAAGTTACAAAATTAGCCAAAAAGTCAACAATTCATACCAAAAAGTCAAAGATTCTCTTTTCTCTCTACTTTTTGCACATCTTTTCGTAAAAAGTTAAAAAGTCATCTCAAACATACTAGTTTTTTTTAACTCATATTTTAGCCAAATAACCAAAAAGTTACTAAATTAGCCTGTTCCCAAACGAGGCCAATCTTTTTAAGTAATATCTTAAAATTTTTATGTCACTATTTTCTTTACTTTTTTTATTAAAAAAAAATGTTTAATTATGCTAAAAAAAATTCTTATAAATTTTATAGTAGAGAAATGTTATATATCACTAATATTTTGTCACTATTTTATATCACCTCTTATACGACACATAATTATGGCACAATTAATGATAACTAATAATATATTGTCATGTAATTCAATTATTCAAAATGGAAAAAAAATTACTTAAAATATTAAAAAAATTCAATAAAAATAAAAAAACATAAAAAATAAGAAAATAAAATTTCCTGAAATATGTTTTTGAAAAAACACAACCAAGTAAGTATAACATTCTTCTAGTTGTACTCCCTAAACTGTCTACTGTTTCCCACTTTATGTCAATTATCAACTCCCGCCCCGGTTAAAGGATAATTTAAAATTCTCAAAAATTAATTTCCCCCCTTTAATTCCTAAAAATCAAAGTGAGAACATCTTTTTCTTTTAAGAACCAATGCGATAAATAAAACAATAATGATAGAGACCACTAATTTTGGAACTCTAAAAAGACCACTAATGACATGACACTCAATAAAAAAAGAAAAAAAATACAACACCAAGACCAAAACATCAAATCATTCATGATGGAGCCTACTGCCACATCATTAGTGGTAGCACTAATTAGTACTCCCACTCATTTTCCTAAATAAAAACTATACTTAAAGGGATAAAAGTATAATTTATTCTATATTTGTCACAAAGTATAACGATAGTTATAATAACATATGCAAAATAAATAAATAATAATAATGAGACCATAAACCTTTTTTCAGTTCAAATTGCATACTGCTTTTCCTACCCAAGAATGTTTTGTTTTCACATCATTCAAATCAAAACAGCAAAAAAGGTAAAAGTAAACCCACTATCGTCCAAAAGTTCTGCTCTAAATTAGCATGATCCAACATATGGATTGTTTATCCACAAGAAATGTTTCTCTATACTCATCTGTACTGTTCGACTCTCCAAAAAAACTGACCCAGTTGCTATGAAGATACAGAGCAATCCAGGAGGCTTCAGCAAGATGCCTCAAACCCTGTTGTATGCAACCGACTTGCTGAACATCTTGCGTATATACACGACTTGAAGCGCACTCGCAAGAGCCAGTAAAATGTACTCTCCAATTGAGTAAAATGTGACACGCTTTCGAGTGCTCTCATTTGCTGTAGAAGAAACAGATACCGTTAATAAGTACAAGACTATTTGGTTTTTTTTATTTTTTTTAACAACAACAAAACAATTTTATTAAGCTTTTGTTTGGGAAGTATGTTGACTTTTTGACTTTTTTTGACTATTTTAGCCTGGGCTAAAAAGTTTGGTTTGAGAAGGACTTTTTGACTTTTTCGCTTTTTTGACTTGTTTTGTGAGAGAAGAATGTAATGATTACGGGTTGGATGTGATATTTTATTTTTTGTGACTAAAATAGTCTATTTTATCTTTTGTGACTAAAATAGCCAAAAAAATCTCATTTAGCTCTTGCCAAACGGAGCCTAAGAACAAGACTATTTGGTTAATAACCCATCACAAAATCACAAACACAAGCCTTGTTATTGACACAACTTGGTGTTGATCACAAGGGCGGAGGCACGTGAGACCCAGAGGGGTCACGTGCCCCCCTCAACTTTGAAAAATTATTCTTTTGCCTCTAATAAAAATATATATTTTAATTTACGCTTCGTTTGAGAACCCTTCATTTTAGTTAAAAATTCAAAAAGTTACAAAATTAGTCAAAAAGTCAACAATTCATACCAAAAAGTCAAAGATTCTCTTTTCTCTCTACTTTTTGCACATCTTTTCGTAAAAAGTTAAAAAATCATCCCAAACATACTAGTTTTTTTTAACTCATATTTTAACCAAATAGCCAAAAAGATACTAAATTAGCCTGTTCCCAAACGAGGCCAATCTTTTTAAGTAATATCTTAAAATTTTTATGTCACTACTTTCTTTACTTTTTTTATTAAAAAAAAATGTTTAATTATGCTAAAAAAAATTCTTATAAATTTTATAGTAGAGAAATGTTATATATCACTAATATTTTGTCACTATCTTATATCACCTCTTATACGACACATAATTATGGCACAATTAATGATAACTAATAATATATTGTCATGTAATTCAATTATTCAAAATGGTAAAAAAAAACAAGTAATATATAATAACTTATGTATATTATTTATTCATTTTCTCTTATTTCTTTCTCTATCCTCACTATATCTCTCGATGTGTGTGCATCTTAATATAATTTTGTTCTCATATTTTATGAGGGTATATGTAATTATTTTTTAAACCGTGATGATCATCATATATAAAATAAATTAATAACAGTAAATATAATGATTAGTTAACTTGACCTTATATTTAAATATAACTTTTGCATTGCACTAATTTTTCGTCCTACCATCAAATAAAAATTAAATGGTGCCCCTTCAGAGCCAAAATCCCGACTCCGCGACTAGTTGATCAACAATCCAAAATAAGAAGTGATTCCGAAGAAATTACAAAGACAAGTTTATAGCATATCTCTGACCAACCTAAGAAACAAGGTCAAAATCTAGAGAAGAAGTTAAAATCATCAAATGTGCCATGCTTGGGGCAAAAACACATCTCCTAGTAGTGACACAAGTACCCAGACACCCAGCCCAATCTATTGTTCTTTTTTCTTTCTTGCATTTTTTGTTACAAGCCTAAGCATTGAAAGCATGCGTTTTTTCACTAATAAGAGCACTTTCTAAGGACTGGCAAATTAGTTTGTCCAGCATCTGTCAACATAACATCAAACTCATGTCTAGCATCAGCTGGAACATTACCATATTAGTAAATACTTATTTTCCAAAATCTGGTGAAAGTCCATTTGACTTATTTAAAATTTATGATACTTTGATGTAAGTCACGTGCCCGTGTTTATAAAATACAGTCAAAATTTCCTCCAATTGAGAAGAATTCTCAAGTTCACACACCGTGCAATAATGCAAGTACATCGGCAGAGGTACATTCAAGGAAGCACGGGTGTGGGTGCGAGTACGGTACGGGTACAAGTGCGGGCACGCCGATTAAATTGTAAATGTAAATTGTACTCCACCTACCACCTCCACTTCACCTAACACACTCAACTCTACCTACCACCTCCACTTCACCCCCTACCAGCACCACCACAATCTGCTACCTTCTCTTCTATATATAGGAGTTGTAATCAATATACAGATATACAACAATCTTGTAATAAATCAATCAATAATATACATCAATTTATTTTACAACAGTCAAAATTTCCTCCAATTGAGAAGAATTCTCAAGTTCACACACCGTGCAATAATGCAAGTACATCGGCAGAGGTACACTCAAGGAAGCACGGGTGTGGGTGCGAGTACGGTACAGGTACAAGTGCGGGCACGTCGATTCGGCAAAATTTAAAAAAAGTACGATACAGGTACAATTGTGGTACACCGATATTTTTTTTTATTTTACATATAATTATGGTTAAAGAATCCAACCTACAAATTAAAATTAAATATCAAAACTAAAAAAAAAACTACTCATTTTTCTATAATTTAAAACCATTAAGTGTTAAAAATAATATTTGTGAAATATCTCACTTTGACATGTTATTCACTGTGAATTTGTGATCATAATTTATTTTTAAAATCTTTCTTTTTGCTCATCAATTTACTATTTTTATAGGATGAGACCAAAGAAATAACAGGAGACCAAAGAAAGATTTAAAATTAATTGCCAACAGTAAAAGAAAAAAAATTCTCAATTGGGACAGGTTGTCAATTGCAATTTGCATAATATATAAAATCGCATCATTCCCCACTACTACTAATCAACTAATACCGTATCAATTTTTAATGTATTGTGCATAAACTTTAAAAGTTTGTTATGATTAAAGATTTTATAAAGAAATTCTAAGAGGATCTGAAGCAAAAGCATAATGCATAGTTATACACAGAATTACCCTTTATAGGCCTTGTTATTTTTTTTTTGTTCAAATTGCTTTTTAAAAACATCAAAATCATTTGTTGATATGCTTATACAATTTATACAGACAGACAAGACAGTAAAGAAACATCAAAATTACTGATCTGCAAGGGCACAACAAAAAAAAAAAAAATTGGCCCTGGCGTACCCATGGCTTACCCACACCGTACCCATGGCGTACCCACGCCGTACCCAAATGAACCAAACGTACCAGACCCTCTTTTGTTGTACCCGGTACGCATACTGCCGTACCGGTACGCATACCCGCATCCGGTAAGTACCCGGTATTCGTACGGCACTAATTTTGGAGTACCCGTGCTTCATACATCAAATTTCATAAAACTATATTGATCATCTAGGTTCTCAAAAAAGTAGTGTTTGACACTGGAGAAACCATGTGGCAGCAAAACAGCCACAACCAGGTCTATCAATCATCTAGTTCATATAAAAACTACAAAAACACTGCAAAATTCCATGACCGCATCAATTCATAAGCACCAGTTAAAATTTTCAAAAGAAAGAACAGCTTACTATGACGGTGACGAGTATCACGGGCTAGCAAATACTTCTGCTCTGCCTTAACAGATTCCAATGCCTCCCTCAACTCAGCAATCTTAACATTAATAGGGTCCAAATGTTCTGCAACAAATCACCATGTAAAAAGCATGACAAAAGAGATCTTTATATATATCAGCCTCAAACATGTTACTTCGAGAACAGGGTCCAACAAGTAGTCAAAATCTCATAATCAATGTGTAATAATAATTGTAGTTGCAGTCCATATATAGATCTAATATGAAGAGAAGCATATAATACATTAATTTGTACTGGCAATAATATTTTATTTGATTGGTAAGTACTGGAAACAATATAATTACATAAGAATTGGACAAACCATCTTTTGCAAGGTCATGTTCACTAGGAATGTGGCCAACATGTATGTAGAAAGAGACAGTCTCTATTGCTGAGTGAGAATTATGAAAACAGAATTCATACAATCCACTACTAGGGGACTCGAACTCAAACTTGTCCCCAGATGTTCCCTTCGAACTGTGCACCACATTGCCTCCAGGAGATGTCACCTGCATGAAAACATACAATAAAGAAATTTAAATAATTTTTTTTTTTGTAATTTTTTTTAATGCAAGTAACCAGAGATTAAAGAAATTTAAATGATTTACTCTGAAATTAATCATAAAGCAACAAGAACTCACCATGGGTACTGCTGTTTCTGGTAAACCAAATTTTTGTTCATATGAGAGACAGTGACATAAAGTGGTTCAAATGTTACAATATAGCCAGTCAAGAGGATTCTGAAAAAACTGAAAGCATGCTATCTGGACTATGTGACAACAAGGAATGTATGATATTCTTGATGTGTTGATACCGATATCATTCAAGTACAAGCATTTGCAACACAAGTAATGTGTTTTACTAATGCATTGATTTGAGCATTTCACTTGTGTTGCAAATGCTTGTTTACATGATCGAGTTGAGCCAATTCAACTTGAGCTCCTCAAATACCAAATGATTCGATTCTCTAATGCTGTGTTTGGTTACAGGATTTGAGAAGGGATTTGAAAAGAGAAAGGAAAAAGATAGGTGAAATGTGAATAAAATATACCTACATTTCACCTAATTTCACACACATTTTCCTTTTTCCTTTCCAAATCTATTCCTAAATCCCTCAACCAAACACGGTATAAAGCTCAAATTGCGTTCGATCCCAAGTTTCATTGAGCCAAGCTCCAACACACTACAACTCAATTTGACTTGTTTGCAGCCCAACCCATTTTATTTTTGGAGTCAAGGTTTTTACAAAGCTTCTAAACATTAACATATAAATGGAAATCCAAGCAAGCAGAGATATACTTCATAGATTTTCTATACTACATACATCACATAAACACCCCCCCAAAACAAAAAAAAAACATATATTATACTTTATACTACATCTATATCATACTCATATATATACATATAATAAATATTTGAAAAGTTTTCGTTGCATGATGATTTGAAATTTCTTTATCTAATTCGGGTCTCTCCAAATCATGAACTCTCAACCCACTAGAGTAGCAATTTAGCACTGCAAGACCCATGACCTATACCAAAAACCCCCAATGTTGCAAATTTCCCACCATTAAACCCCATCAGTTTTTTTTTTTTTGATAACTCGATATGCAGCCCATTGACCGACTAATCCGGAAGCCACTTGTGGATCCCAATTAAAGCCAAACGGCCCCAATAAATTATTTGCATCAGGAAAGTTTTGAACCTGCCCCAAGCCTTGACCACCACCAGGTCCGGTCAAGGCTTGAGATTCTATTAAACCCCATCATATACCAGCAACAAAAACATCTTTGATAAAAAAATTTCCAAACAAAAAAATCAAATGAATTTAGAACATAAACCCTTATTCTCATTCCAAATTCAAAAACAAATTCAGTCGATCAACAAAAGTAAACGAACTCAATCAGTGAACGAATAAACAAAATTGACAACAAACAAACAAACACGAAGAAGATGGAATGAAAATAGAAGAAAATCATGGAGAGATTACGATTAAGTCGATGCCGGGATGTTCGGAGTTCCAGAAGACGTGGTGATCGACGACGACGAAGTTGCCGGAGACGGTGTCGCCGGCGAAGAAGACGAACTCGTAGACGCATTCGACGTCGTTCACGGTGATGGAGAGTGCGGAGGAGAGTTGGCCGACGAAGCTGAGGAGAACAACAAACCCCAATAACACTACTACCATCGCACTGGCACTCGCAGAGACCTTCATTCTCTCCATTTTCGTCTGATTCATCACACTCGCTCTCTCTCTCTCTCTCTCTCTCAACCCCAACTTTCGAATGGAGATTCTTGTGTGGACACGTCATTTAATATCAAATCAATGCATTAAATAACGGAAAATTCAATACTCTCAATAAATTATTAAAATTTTTACTAAAATTTTTTAGAAAAAATTATTCATAAATATCATTTTGATAAATGTTGCTCTAATTAGTCTTGAGTGGTTTTTTTTAAACTATTTAGTCTTTTTTATTTTTGATATAATGGGAGTGTTTGGCAAGAAAAAAAATAGCCTAATTTAGGCTAAAATTCACAAAAAGATAAAATAGGCTAAAATAGCTAATAAGACAAAATATCACATCAAACTCATAATCATTTCACTTTTTCTCTCACAAACATCACATCCAACCATTAAAAAATTTTAGGCTAAAATTTTTATATTTGGGAAGATGATTGGATTTTTTTATGGTTGGATGTGATGTTTGTGAGAGAAAAAGTGAAATGATTATAAGTTTGATGTGATATTTTGTCTTATTAGCTATTTTAGCCTATTTTATCTTTTTATGAATTTTAACCTAAATTAGGCTTTTTTTTTCTTGCCAAACACCCCCATTGTGTATGAAATTTATATTTTTACCTATATTTTTGATTTTGTCATGGTGTGTGTGTTTAAAGATGTTGTAACATTGATATTTTGTAGGAGGGAATTTCATGGACTCTTCTCAAAGTTGTTTCACCATTTTAGTGTTGAGTTTATAATGTTATATTTTGCAACAAAACAAAACAAGATGTTTCACCCACACAACAACATCGGCAACGTCATCAACATCAACAACATTAGCAACACAGTACTGGAACATCAATCATGCCAAAAACAATATCAGCAACATCACCAACATCACAAAACAACATCAGCAGCATTACAAAAACAACATCAACATTAGCAACATCAACAGCAACATCAACATAAGCAACATCATCATCACAAAACAACATCAACAACAAACACAGTAGTTCACGATTACACCAATTGTATTCTTCGATTAACATCAACTAATACCAAATAGCTTTGATGTTTCACCCACACTGTGAACGACGCCTCCGACAGACTGACGTAAGGTCCCTGGTGTTCTGCTGACAACGTTAATTGCAGGCCAAAATACCCCCACGCCCACGTCGTTTCGCAGATGCAGCTTTGGTAGAAAGGGTTTTCAAATGTTAGTGTTTTGATTGGGTTCACTAATGTTATTCACGAAAATGAAATTGAATAAACGCGATTAACATCAACTAATACCAAATAGCTTTGATGTTTCACCCACAAACGTAAAAGATATATCACGTAACACCTCCATTTTGAACCAATCCATTATGGAAAACGAACCCACCCTTACATCAAATAAAAACCCATACCTTGCGCCATATTCTCCACAATCGTTTTCCGTGGACGGCAATGTCTAGCTGTTGGCTACACCGTTGGAGATACGATCCAAACTTTGGTCAAACCCTCACCAATGCCGCCCGCGACGTATTTTGGAGGATAGATGTAATCAACTGTTGGATTGGGCAACTAGGGTTTACAAACGTAGTGAACTATTAATTTCATCAAACAACATCAACGTTACCAAACTCAAATCAAAATCACACCAAATTCGCACCAGAAAACATTGAAACATTGGATTCGATCATCCAAATTCACGCCAAATCCAAAACTAGTCTGCATTCACTATTACGGATTCGATCGCCCCAATTCACTGTTGGACTTTTCCGTAAATTGCACATAAACACTGCCCCAAATTAACCCTCACTTTTCGAACCCCACGCGCCCAAATCATGGGTAGTCTTATCTTTACACTTAAAATAGGACCTTTCAGTTCTTCAAAAAAACGTCAAGACTAACTGGTCCAACATTCCCAATATTAGGATTTAATGGTGCTTTGCCCAACCTTTTATATGGATAGAATTCATACAAATTACATGTATGTGAGTTCTATATCCATATGAAAAATTTGGTAAAAAATTTAATAATATATTTAGGATACCTAACATAACGTCTGGAGAGTTTAGAGAGTGTTGATTTTGTGGTTTTAATTACAAAAATGTTAGAGATTTTAAAATTTTATTAAAATTTTTATTAAATGTCTTACATAGATGTATGACCCATAGGGACATATATTGTGTAGGTTACATACCCATGTGAGACATTTGATAGAAATTATATTATGTGGGTCACACATTCATATAAAATATTTGATAAAAATTTTGATAGAATTTTTAGAATTTCTAATATTGTTCTTTTAATTATTTTATCTTGAATTAAAAAAATTTATTTGGGATAAATTTTTTGACATTATATTTGAGAGTGGGTTAATTTTTTAATTATTTTTACAGAAAATAATTCTTAAATATCTTAAAAACAGGAAAGATCTCAATTCAATTCCTTGCTGGGTGGATTGGATCAACCAAAGTCCCTGCCCTTAGCCTCATAGCTAAGATGGCTGGATCTAATCCATTATTTTTTAATCCTGATCAACAAGTCTAAGAAGATTCCTTCTCATTCTATCTATTCTTTTTTTTCTTGAAAGCTTGAATGGGATCTCAGAAAGAAAGGAATTAAAAGGTCCTCTTTAGAATTAATTTTTTGATTTTTTTTAATTTTTGTAATAAAAAAATAAAATAATTATAATTTAGATATGACATTTTATTTTATTAATTTTGTAATCTATTTTATTTTTTTATAACTAAAATAGCCTCCAACTCATATGCCAAACTTAGCCAAATTTTGCCAACAAATTTAGTTTTCTGAAAAAAAAAAGAAAAAAAAGTAGCAATCACCTGGTTCCAATTTCCTAAATTTAATCTTTAATTTTTTATATTTTTATATTTTAATGAGTTTTTTAATATTTTAAATAATTTTTTTCAAATACACTTAATATAAATATAATTAAAAATTATAATATTTGTAAAAAAATATTTAAAAAATATTCTTGTATATTTATTGATTTTTACATTTTTTTTAATAAATATTTTACTTTTTAAGTATATCTAGATGGGAATTTTTTTTTAAGATCCCTCATATTAATATTTTATAAGATAAATGACATATAATATTTTCATGAAAAATTTAGCCAAAATCCCTTTATTGGACCTTTATTTGGTGAAAAAGATATCTTGATTTATTTAGCTTCATAAACCTCTAGAGGAAAAAACACATAATTGAGTAAGGACAAAATAAAATATCTTTTTTTTTCTTGGACAATATTAGTAAAGTAATATATCAAACAGAGTAACATGTTACTGTGAGACAGAGTAACATGTTAATATTATTGTTTACATCAATTTTGACGGTAATAATTTTTTTTTAAAGAATTTCATAATCAATATGGATCTTGTTTGATAGATTTTGATTGGAAGATTCTAAAAATCTAATTTTATTAAAAAATAATATCTACATCAAAAGTTATATTATTTTAAAGTTTAATATTTTAATAATAGTGGTATGTATTTGAATTTTCAAGGAAAATTTTTATGCTTGTCCTTAATGCATTAAAGTTTTATTATGAGAGGGGGTTTTGACCAAATTCTCCTATTTTTATAGTAGTTAAGGTCCCTCAACATTTCTACAGAAAAAATTTGCCCTTCTCTATGATTATACTAGCGAAATTTTGAAATTTCTCTGATTCAGGATCGAGATGTTTGTTTGGGTCAAGTGAAATTTCTCTAAGTTTGGCAAAATTTTTTTGAGTCGAATTTTCTCTGTGAAAATGATGAGAGACCTTATCTAATAAAAAAAATATATCTTTGACCTCTCTTACAACACAAAGTTGGAAATGAATGTTTCATTAATTTTCCCTATCTAGATTAGATGCATTTAAAAAATAAGAAAATTACTTAAAATCACTAAAACAAAAAATTTAATTTTCAAAAAATTAGAATCAAACATAATTCTACCCATACTAAAAATTTTACTAAAAATATAAGAGGTTCGATTAGTTATAAAAAAAATGATATTTAAACATCCAATTATATTTGAACATGTATGCTTTTAATAATATCGTTGGTAAACTTTTAAATAGATATAATATTGCTTAAAAGTAAACTACCCATCTAAAAAATAAAAATAATTTACCAAACAAAAAATATATTTAAATTGTTGGATTTTTTTTAAGGATGGTAACTTGGTAAGGCTTTGGTTTCATTTTTAGAATTTTACTTTATTTATTTTATTTTATTTTTTTGAAAATATAAAAATTCATTTTTCAAAAAAAAAAAATCAAAATATATTTTTTAAGATTTCAAAAATTATTTTTGCCCAAAGAAAATAAAATCATATGAAAATAATAAGTATTTTAATTTTTTAAATCAAATTAGATTATAGTTTTTTTAACAAAAAAATCAAAGAATAAATTGTGAAAATGAAACCAAACATAGACTAAGTATTTTTTCCTGGACAAAACTATGTTTGGTAAAGTTTCATTACTCCACCACCTCAATGTTGCCATGACCTGCACTCGTCGATGACAATTTTTCAATAAGAACAAGAAGTTATTGGTTAAAATCTCCAACAAAGTGAAATTTCATTGATTTAGAAATTTGAAAATTTTCACGATAATTTCTGGCAAGTGTCCGTGCAAAATGAAAATTTATAGTGCAATAAAGTTGATTGTTATCAAACTAGATAAATTTTCAATTGCTAGCTAAAAATTATAAAATTAAAAAATCAATTCGAATTTAGAGCATCTCTAATCCAATCCTCTCACTAAGAGGATGAAAATAAATTTTTTTATTCAAAAAATAAATATAGAGTATGTTGTTGGAAATGGTTATAAAATTATGGAATAAACCAGAATTTTTTTCTAAGTTCGGTCTATTTTTTAGGTGGGCCCTTGCGTTGATTTTCATGGGTCAAAGTGGTAACGCATTCTATGCCGCGTTGTGATTCACGTGGTATATTGTTCATTAACAAATATTTAATTTTAAAATTTTTGTAAAATATGTTTAATATTATACTCATTTTAAAGGTATGATTTCACATTTTTTAATGATGTCAATTTTATAAAAATTAAATGTACATGTTAAAAGTTATTTGTAATATAATAAAAAATATAGAATGAATAGTATTTTAGAGGGCATCCTCTATTTTTCATCCTCCCTTCATATTTGGAGGATCAACTCATCCTCCTCCCAAATAGAGATGGATTTAGATGATGGGTTGGAGGAACAAATCCTTCATATTTGAAGTTATGGAGGATGCATTGGAGATGCTGTTAGATATCTTAGCATATCATAGTAAAATTTTACTAATTTTTATTCTAAATTATTAAAATTTCTCTGACCAAAACCATTGAATTACACAAGGCTAGTGAAAAAACCATTGTCATTAATTAAAAAATCAATAAACTTTTATTGACTAATTTCATTAGAACTTAGGCTCCGTTTGGGAACAGGCTAATTTAGTAATTTTTTGGCTATTTGGTTAAAATATGAGATAAAAAAAACTAGTATGTTTGGGATGACTTTTTGATTTTTTACTAAAAGATGTGTAAAAAGTAGAGAGAAAAAAGAATATTTAACTTTTGTGTATGAGTTGTTGGTTTTTTGACCTTTTTAATAACTTCTTGACTTTTTGGCTAAACCGGCTCTTCCCAAACGAGGCCTTAATAAAATTTAAATTTCTTTACATTATTACAACAACAAATCTCTATCAAACAGACACATAGATCAAAGACAGAGAGAGATAAATGAGAGAAAGCAAAAAAAGAAGGGAGATAAACAAAGACAAATCTAGGATGACAATCAGCAGCGACGCTATGTTAATGTTGATGGGCCTTATCCCCCATCAACTTATCAAAAACCCTTTTAAAAAAAATTATATTGTGAATATTTTTATGCTGTATAGTTTAACCTCATTAAAAACATCAAGGAATCCTACTATATAGTTTGATCCCAATGAATAAATGATTTATTAGTTACATATTTTAAAAAAGACGTGTTTGAGAGTATTGACAATGACTATTATTATACTATTCTAAAAAAATAAAACTGGTTCGAATATAATTGTAAAAATTTATATTCTTTTTTGTTTAGACAATAGTACAATATTTTTATAGTTTATTTTACTTAAAGTTTGAAGAGTTGAAGGCTTCATTTGAGGTTTTTTTATTAATGATTTTTTGATTATTTTATGAGATAAAAAAAAATTAGTTGTTTGAAAATAATTTTTTTTAGTTGTAAGAAAAAATGTGAATGATTTTTATGTATGACTTATTTTTTTAGTGATTTTAAATAATTTTTTAGCTTTCCTTTTCTTTAATCTAAAGTCAAATTTTTGAACAAGGTTTTTTTTTTTTTTTTTAAACTTAAGTAAATTTGACATTTTTTGTTACTTTCTAAACATTTTTTTTTTTTTAGAAGAGTTATAAATTAAATTACAAGATATACAATTCATGATCATAATAAATAGTCCACATGTTAGATAAGATGATATGGAACCATAGCTTGGACTCGAGAGGAGTCAAGCATTGTCAACCCAACTTTTGTCTTGTTTTGTTCTTGTTTCTTTAGATAATTTTGCAACTTGTATGAATGATGTGGGGTGAGAAGCCTAACTTTGGACTATTGTATATAAGTTTTATGAAATTAAAGTTGGTTTTTACTACTTTTGATTTCAGCATGTATGCACTGCTCAATGGCTCGTTATTATTTTATGTTTTTATTTCTGCTAAGCCCCATTGTTATATTATGATTGATTTGACTCTGAAGCCGAAGGTAATCCAGGATTACTGGCCAGTCATGGCTTGAACCTCTAGGGGCGAGCTAAGGTCGTGATAGTAAATTTGGCCCATTAGCTCACGTCCACCCGAAGCTTGCCCGTGACCCTGTGTGGCCCGACCCAACTAGGCC